CACTCGCCCGGCCCGTCAAGGACGTCAACTCCGGTCTAAGGAATGTCACCTCCCTCGACAGCCCGCTGTGTTCGCCCCCGCAACGGTCTCCCTGTGTTCTTACACCTCCCCTCATCGCCCTCCCCTCTTTCCCCATCGCCTCCCCAAGTCGAGCTCTGAGCGGCTAGCCGCCCCAGTAAATCTGTAGCTGCAAGTCGAAAGCTGTGTCGTCTGTTTCGTCCTCTTGTGTGTTTCTTTCGTTTTAAGTCAATGGAAATGTTCTTCGGCGCCTCTTTTATGGCGTACGCCTCCACGATCTCGCGCCCGTAGCGGTTCTTGATGGCCCCCAAAACACGCGCGGACGGGAACTCGGGGGCACATGGAGCGCAAACCTTGAGGTGATGGACCATGGGGTGTTGGGACTTGGGAGTCCTCGTCGTTTTTTTTTCTATTTCTCTCCTATGTTCGCGCAGGTGGCAGTTGAGGCCGCGCCAAGAGGCACGCGGCCCCTTTCGTTCCCTGCGCGGTCGGACGGGTGTATTCCGTGCCCTTCTCGTGCGGGGCAGAGTACATCGTACAGACGGGCCGCTGCCTCAACGACCGCCTGCGCGAACATGAGAGAGAAATAGAAAAAAACGAGGGGGACTCCCAACACCCCATGGTCCATCACCTCAAGGTTTGCGCTCCATGTGCCCCCGAGTTCCCGTCCGCGCGTGTTCTGGGGGCCAACAAGAACCGCTACGGGCGCGAGATCGTGGAGGCGTACCCCATAAAAGAGGCGCCGAAGAACATTTCCTCGGCCTCGCTGTCGCTGTCGGAGAGAGAGGTGACATTCCTTAGACCGGAGTTGCCGTCCTTGGCGGGCCGGGCGAGTGGTCCCTACTCCTGAGAGGGAAATCGGGATGCCTCCTTCCTCCCCCTCCTTCCCGCTGTCTCTGCGCTTTACTTTCCCCGAGTTTTCTCCCGGGGCCTTGTCTTGTCCGCCCCCTTCCCCTTCCCCCTCCTTTTAACTTTCCCTCTCCTGTAGTGGAACTCCGAAGGAGAAGCGTCCGGCAATAAATCATTTGTTTGTTGAAAATTGAAAGATGGTGTTCTCCCGTCCCCTGTCTTTACGAATAGTAAAGTGTTTTTGTTTAAATTCTTAGTTTTGGCGCGGTTTGTTCCTCAAGTATTTTCCGGAATATATTGTGTGCTTAAGCTACACTAGGTGGCGCAAGCTGCCACATATACACCATTAACCATCGGTTCAGCCATCTATCCACCCACAGCCTTCACCCACTTATCGTTCCTTTGTTCTGTTTGGCGCGTTACTTGCGGTGGTGACGAATGACGGTTGGCGAGTTTACCGAGTTGACGAGCCAAACGAATGTCAGTATTTTCGCGCCTAGCTGCTCGCGTGGCTTTAGCAGCGTTCGACAATGCCGCCCGTGCGGTGTCTGGTCACCGTGCCTCACCTAAAGGCTGCCAGGTCTTTCAAGCTCGAGGATGGATCGGTAAACTCTTTGAAACATGCGGTGGCTACGTGCCCCGTTCTTGGGAACTCCATCAAACTGTCTTCTGTCAGGTTTCAGGCAAGTGCCTCGTTTCTGTTGACATTTTCCCCGTGCTCGAACTGTAGCAGGTCACAGTAAGCTAAGTAAACGAAGGATAGAGAAGACACCGAACTGCGAAGCTGTGAACCACCTAATCCAGAAAAAAATATCGAAGTGATAAGATTTTAACCGCCTAAACCACCGTCATCTTCGAATCTATCTTGGAAAGGGTACATGTTATATGAGGAAATGACGTTTTAGCGCGAAGAGTAAAGTATAGACCGCATGAAAGCGATTTGGCGAGTGACGAGGCAAGCGTCGGTGAACCCGCTTCGCTGTCGCTCGGTCACTCGCGCGACGAGGCAATCCGCATGAAAGCAACGGGAGCAAGCGACATTGTAATCCAAAAGGAAGTGTCTAGAGTTCCGTCCAGGCGGAACGATGGTCGCCACTAAAGTAACGTCCAAGTTGGGTCTCGTATAAAGCAAATGTTGAAGGCTAGTTTCTGAAGGAGTAAAGCTATACGCACTCCGGAGTGCGCTTCGGACGGAAATGGCTACACGCACTCTGCGGAGAGCTCATGCCGCTCGGGTCACCCTTTTCGAATGGCACGTGTATCGCTGGGGAGCCCGCCTGCGTTCCCCCCGCTTCGCGGCGACAGTGTGAGGCTGCTAATTACAAAACGTAACCAGTACACGCCGCTTCGCGGCGTCCAGCCGGCAACCCAAGCCCCGCTGTCCCCGATCGCATCAGGAAAGGGAGTCCCGTACCATTTAGTTTTGCGAAGTTTTGTCGGCAACGAATCTTTTAGTGTTCACCGGGGGGGAAAAAAAAAAAAAAAAAAAAAAAAAAAAAAAAAAAAAAAGTAAATATTGCCAAATGCTTCGACAAAACAAAATGTTTGAGAAAACGAAACAAAAAGAAAGTGGGACCACCGCGGATCGAACCCACGTCCACTAGCGTACGAAGCTGACACCTTAACCACTACGCTATGCCACCGCTTAAAAGAATGAGTTGTTGTGACTATTCCTTTTATATGAGACTAGCGGAGTGCGTATTGGCCTCGAGATCGACCTAGAGGTGGCGCTACTGTCGCGCTATCATCATCATCAAAGTGGGGATAGGAGAACGGCCGCCCCATAGGCTCTCCACGTTCGCGCGCGAGACGGCATATATTCTTGCGTTTATTATGTCGCATACTATCGGTGGGAAAACAATTCTAGCGGAAAAAGATGCGGTACTGTTCGGTGCTTCGGTGAAGATCGAATCGTGTTGCAAGCGTGCGGCCTAAATTTATATAATCGCTCCTGTGGGTGCGTCGTCTGCTCTAGGCAGACGTTGGAAAGCATGGATCACCACAACTGATGCCTGTCTCCGGCTGAACTGGAATATTTATGTTAAATATTTGTTTTTTCTTTCCTCAAATGGATGTATTGGCTCATCAACGTGGCAATTAAAAAAAAAACAATAATTCCAACCCAGATACCATAATACTGGTACTGTGGGTTGTGAAATCGCAGCTTCTATGCTTTTTTTTTAACTTCTAGCTTTTGCAGTAATATAAATATTTAGAATGAAGATAAGTTAGCGCCGTATTGGAAATTGCCATGCTATTGAGTTCCTCTGCCCTTTTACTGTGCCATAGTGTGGGTACGTTTTGTGGAGTCTGAACAAATCGACTGCGTTGCGATGAGAAGAGAGTGTCTCTTCTAGTTAAGATCTGCAAACTGCACGGTTGGCAGGACAACTGAAACAAGGGAAACAAACTGTTCTAATATATCTGCCGTGACTGTAATAAACGGGTGTGACCGAGCAACGCAGCAGTGTTCCTGTTAATAAATTCTTTTCTCGGTAGCGTGGGTTCACCCGCTTCAATTTTCTTGGTGAGGGCCGCGGATGTCAAGAGGCTACTACTATAAATTTCTGGCTAAATAATCTTGTATTCAAACACAGTAGACTCTGCAAGCCCAACAAACGACGCGCACCACGACACAGGCAGCATCGGCCGCACTGATACTCTTTTACCGATAAGGGCTAGCGAGGCTTCACGAGACTTTCCGATCACCCTCCGCCCTCACCTAACGTAGGACTGGGCAGTTCATCGATCAACTTTCAGATTATTCAAGTAATGCTTTAATTGCACTTTTTTTTTCTGCCGGTTAATTGGAGTCTTGTGCTCGAGAAAGTCAAGAAGGAGTAAAAAACGCCTGCTTTAATATTTTTGGCGTCTTTATTTCTTTTGTGACACTGGCTTGCACGGTAAACCACTTCAGAGTGCTTGTCATTCCACCGAGGGTGATTATACTGTTTAAATAATAACTTAAAAAATACTTCATTTTAGAAGGCCTTCCCGTGTTCATATTTATGTAGGACTCACAACGTGAAGTTAAGAATGGGAATGCAATATGCCACTTATGACATAGTAAAACCAGTAAAAAATGTGTAGTTTTAACGTCTTTCACGCAATATGACCGGCGAAAAATCAACATACGGATTTATTGATTGATTAGTCCATTAAAGGACACCGATCAGTCGGGTTAAGTTTCTAATCAAACCACAGACCCACTCAACATTCAATACTTTATGAAAGCCACGGTTTGTGCGAGAAAACAAAAATACGTGGGACCAGCGATTGTATACAAACCAACACACTAAGATTATGGAAGCTTCCGACTTATTAATAATCGCTTTGCTGAATTTATACGCATGGTAAACGATACAACACAACCTTTAGTAAGAAGAAACGGCAAGAAAAAGAAAACATTTAATAAGGAATGTCAAGCTCAGCCTGAAACGGGTTCGCCTCGTCGAGATCCATGCTTCTAAACGTGCGCCCGTAGCAGACGACGCACGGCGGTATCCCCGCTTTCGCGCGTTTCGAATCTCGGCCGCACGGTGGCGACACGGTTCGATCTCGAGGCGAATAGCCATTTCCGTTTGAAGTGCACTCCGGAGTCCGTAGGCTTTATCCTTTCTGAAGTGGTAGTGTAGTGTAGTGGAAAGGTGTCTGCCTTACACGCAGCGGGCCCGGGTTCGAACCGCAGTGTGGGTTTACTTCTTTTTTTTTCTTCTCGATTTTTTTTTTTTGTCGGTATTTACATTTCTCTTTTACAATTATCTCTGAAAGACATGAAGGCATGTTGTCGACGAAACTTCGCTGAACTAAATGGCCGGAGGTGCAATAGGGCATAGCGGGTTTGGGTTGCTGGCTGGGCGGCGTGTACGGAGGGCTAAGTGGGTTAATAGGGAGTTTTCATAGACCGTTTTCGCCGTCCCGCAATGCCCTACGCAGCTTGCTATGATGTCGGAACTCTACAGTCAAGGGCATGGGCGCACAGGCGCAGTAGCGGCTTCTTCGTTGCAGAGGGCTTAGCGGTGAACGAAACATGGTCTACGAAAACTCCCTCTTAGTTTTGTAATTAGCAGCCGCATACTGTCGCCGCGAAGCGGCGTGAATGCAGGGGAGGGGGGGTGGGTGTTAACGAGCCCCCCAATGATACACGCGCCGTCGGAAAAGGGTGACCCAAATGGCACGAGCTCTAGCTCCGCGTTCCAGACGGAACTCTAGTAGCAGCTATCGTTCCGTCTGGAACGCTAGCCACACCGTACGTCCAAATCGCCGCCTTCCCTAGGTTCACAGGGGCGAGAGAGGAGGGTGGGGGAGAAGGTTAGGCATATCCATTTCAGTGCTCTGTCTGGACGTAACGCTAGCCACAGCGTTGGACGTAACGCTAGACACCTCTTTTTTTTACTTTTTTTTTGTAGGGCATTTGACAATATTTACAGTAAGCTCTCCACGTCGTGCGTATGGCCATTTCCGGTCAACGTGCACGAGCTCGTGCCTATAGCCTTTACTCTTCATTGAATAGGACTGATTTGAGCCAGCACATATGAGAACTGAAAAGAAGCTAAGTGCCTCTGGAGCTGATTTACTAACTATATAAAAATATTTTTGGGTTAGATATATGTGAAGCTAGTCCATGCGCATACATTTTACAGATGCTGGATTTGGTATTTGAAGAATACACTGACCTTGCTGCGGACGACGAAATACATGACATGGCTAAAATCACTCTCCTGCCCATTGTAACTGTCCCAGAGGGTGGGCCAGGCTCATCTTCCACTCAGGTATTTGGTTTTGCAACAAGTTCAAGGTATATCAAGCATTAATGAAAAAAAAAAAAAAGAAACGGTTTATTACTAGGAATATAATCACAACTGTGATAGGCTGTGTCTATACGAGCGTTTTTTTAATTTTTTATTCTTTAAAAATTTTTTAATGGTGATAGCTATGTTAATGCCGCCTTCACTGTATGTTTGTGGAGCTTGGTGCCTGATTATGATTGGTAGAAAAGCGTCCTGTCACTTCTGTACGTCCGTCACTATCCAGCAAGTGTGACGCCGGCGCCTCCAGCAGACACGCTGTCTGTCGAGATAGTGGCGAAGGGCATGAAACACGGGCGTCACTTTTTTTTTTGCATCATAATCAGGTGCACCTTTCAGCGTGTGGTTTTGAGTTAACCCTTTAGACGCCGAGGACGAGTCTGACTCGTCCACGGAGTTCGTCCCGCAAATGCCAAGGATGAGTGTGGCTCATCCGCTCGTTTCAGCCCGTGTCTGTAGTGCCAGCGACGAGGCACGCTCGTCCAGTCTATTTTTGTGTTGAGAATAGTTCTCCCGCTAGCCAGCAGGAGAAAAAGCGAACCAGAATTTCGCTAATTTTTGCATCATTTTGAGAATTTATCATGCTCCTCCGGCAACATGGGTTTTTAAAAATGGCGTCTCTTTCGAGTGGTGACATGCATCGCTCGTCTAGTCGGAAGCGCGTTTCTTTAGTTGATGATGAGTTTTCTACAGGGTGAAACAAGGAGACGGCACGCTCTTTAAATCGACCGGAAAATTCGGTTTCTTAACCTATCGCGCTACGGCTTTGTGCAGCGTTGCCCACAGATGGTGCATTTTTTTTGTAAAATTTGCAAAGAGCGAACTTACCCGAGGAAAAAGTAAAGAAAGAAAAAGGCTTAGCTCCTATGGAAACACAGCGAAGCCACCGGTCTTCAAACAACACGGCGCCGGTTAGCACGGGACACAAGAGGTGGCGCAAGCGGTCGCGACGCCAACTGCCTCCAACGAACGAGCAGACGACGCCGAGACTCGAGAGCCGGCGTATTTAGCAGACAAGGAACTGCAGTTCTTCGTTGTTACTGCGCCTGTTTTTTGTTTCTGCGACTGTCGCCGCCTGCGGAACGCGCGTCGCTTTTGAGTCGAAAAGATTGTCTGCTAATGACGCTGGCTCTCGACGCCGTATGCTCGTTCGTTGACGGCGTTCGTTGCGCCATCTCTTGTGTCCCGTGCTAACCGGCGCCGTGTTGTTTGAAGACCGGTGGCTTCGCTGCGTTTCCATAGGAGCTAAGCCTTTTTCTTTCTTTACTTTTTCCTCAGGTAAGTTCGCTCTTTGCAAATTTTACAAAAAAAATGCACCATCTGTGGGCAACGTTGCACAAAGTCGTAGCGCGATAGGTTAAGAAACCGAATTTTCCGGTCGATTTAAAGAGCCTGCCGTCTCCTTGTTTCACCCTGTAGTTTGGATGATGATGACTTTGCGCTAGACGATAGTGACGGAAGCGGGGAGTCCGCGGAAGAGTTTGAAAGCTCAAGTGACTCGGACCTTAGCGGCGATGAGGTCCATGCTTCGGCGCGAGACTGGAAAAGTGTGGACACGACAAATCCTCCATGAGCCCCTCCCCGCTTTCCCTTTATTGCCACGCCGGGCGTCACGACACCCGTCGACACGTCGCTCGTCGAACACGACACCCTCAATGCTGTTGGGTACTTGTAACTCTTGCTAAGCCAGACGTAATGACTCTGGTCGTCAATGAGGCAAAGAGGTACCTATGCCGATCAACACTTGGCGACCGCGCTGATCTCAAGGGGATCCCAAATGAAGGCGTGGTAACCGGTGACGGAAGCAGAAATGAGTCTTCTTCACCCTGCTGCTTCTACAGGAAATAGTAGACAAGCCAGTTGTCGAGTGGTATTGGTCAAAGCGCACAGTGATTGAAATCCTAGTGTTTGGGGAGGTGATGAGTAAGAGCAGATTTATTTTGCTCACGAAGTTTTTCCACTTTGCGAATAATGGAGATGATGCTGGTAAAGTGGGGCAAGCTCGTCAAAAACTTCTCAAGATCTGGCCGGTGTTGTTGCTCATGAAGGACCGCTTCAAAGCAAGCGGTCTCGGTTCCCATTTTTAATTTTTTTGCCTCACATGGCCTAAGATTGGATCAATTTTGGTTTTCAGTTGTTAAGCTTTTATACCCATGTCTTACATGCTTGAAATAAGGAAGAATTCTTCTATCAAAGTGTGCTATAAAAAAAATTTGAATTTTGGGTACATTTTTTCGAAAACTGGCTGGCGCTTAAAGGGTTAAAGGGCCCATGAAACGATTTTTTGGTTGGAATAAATCATTTTAGATTGGGATTTTACTAATAGCACATCGTTCAGTGGACCAAAAGAAAAAAGGTAGAAAGTCAAAAGCCCGACTTTCAGTGCGAAAATTTGAAAACAGAGCGGACTATTTCGTACCTCCTCCCCTTCGCAACCTCTCTGCCTTTTCACTGTGATACATCCGCGGTCCCAAAAGCGCGTTATCGGGTCCAAACTGACGTCACACGCAACCGGACCTCACTTATTCCCTTCACCCCTAAGCTGACATTGTGGTGGAAGCTACGCGCTTGCCGGACCAATCAGCCGCCTCCCTTTCATCACCTGACTTCATTCTCTGCAGCCACATTTGCCACGCTCACGTGGCAAGTGTGGCTGGCCCAACGAGCACGTAGCTTCAACAGCACTGTCAGCTTCGGAATGAGCGGGGTGGGGAAAGCGACTTTTGTCTGAATTTTGAGCGACGGGCTAATCTTCTAGGGGGAGAATGGATGTGTCCGGGATTACACAAACGAGAGTGGGAGCAAGAGGGGACTCCCCCTTTTCGTCTTCTTTAACTGTTTGGTGGAATGCGCGATTTATGAGTTCAGGAGGAAAGCGAAACAGGAAAAAGTTGGAAAAGCGTTTCATGACCCCTTTAAGCAAAAAAAGGAAAAATTAACAGATGAATATCTCAAAGCCTGTTGCTTTTTCGGGAACCGTGTCAATTGGGTTGGCTTTTATTAATGGCCACCTTTAAAACTACAATAGACCCTTTCCGGAATTCAGTCTGGCCACTTTGATCACTATCATCATCATCTGAAAACGCCATATGTGCTAATGGGCACGACTTTTCTGCAGGTTCCCATCTCAGCACTTTTACTCCAAGGTCACTCAGCTACTAACTGACAAGTACCCTCAGCTCCAAGATGTTATAGGAACTGGATCAGTAAGCACATTTCTTTTGCACGTTTATAATAATAGCTGCGATCAATTCTTAGCATTGGTGCTTCTATACATCTTTCCAAAAAACGCTCCTAGGCTGCCGCCATGTTGCTGATGCTGATGCAGCTGGCCCTCTATCAGCTAGAAATTTTCTGCCACCCTCTTGGACTGTGAACACCCGCTCAGTGCGGTTCTCTACCTGTTTTGGCGGTTTTGCATTCAACGTTTTCTCGCCCCTCTTGAAAGTTCCCACTTAATTTTTTTTATGAGTGCTGCATACCCTTTCTGTGTTATCTTCCATTGTGATATATAAGACTGGTAAGTGCCTGCCATTCAAGCTTTTCTGCTCGACATTCATGGGAAACGAAGGAAGTGATGGACGTCGAACTGCCCTCAACGCGATTTTGCAAACATTCTTCTCCCCCCTCCCAGAGATAATCCGCATAGAATCCTCGGTCATCTCCAAAAATAGTTGTCTGGGTTGGGGTGGGAAACGGGTCAGTCGCGTTTGTTCCTTTACCTTGGTGCTTTAGTGAAAAAGAAAGCTCTCCCCAGCTCAAAGGTGAAAAGAGTATAGCTGGACGCCATAATTTCATTCCTTGGCGCAGGAACGATTCCCTTGGTAGGCTCCCAATAACTGATATCGCAGCAAAAATGCTATGGCTGGACCTAAATTTAAATTTAGATAGTTGTTCAAGCTGTGGTATTTCTTTATTTTACAGGACTCGTGGAGAGTAGCACTGCGGTACAAGTTCAAAAATGAAAGACGTCGCCTTTCAGACGACGTCCGGGTTGCTGAAAACCGTGCAAAATTTGGATCAAAAAGACCAAATGATGGAGGTGCAGCCACACAGCTGAAGCGGCAAAAAAAGATTAAGCTGGTGAGGGGCAATGTTTAAACTTTCCGGGATAAACTTGGAAGATCAAAAATTGCTGATGTGGTTCGGATGCGGATATCGTGTCTGCATAGTGGATGATCAAATTGTTATCTACGCATGGTTTTCTTTCTACTCATCAGTGTCTGCCTTAGAAATCAACGAAACGCTTCCATCAATCAGATAACGCGAATCGGGAAAACTACAGTGGTTTATCCCGTCTCCGCGAGTAGGTGGAAGCATGAAATGCTTTCGAGTGGAAAGGATTCGGAAAGATGATGATGGCAGGGAGCTCGATTCATTCCGATTCGATGGTTGGCACTCACTGGAAGCTCACCTGAGATTGGAGCTCACCTGGAAGCTCTCAAGATCCCAGGCGAGCTTCCATTAAGTGTCAATCAGTGATTTGGAACCAGTGGAGCCTCCTGCAATCGTCCTTCTTCTTGGGTCCTTGTCTCACAATGTCCATAAGATCTGAGAACATGCAGCACTCTAATGAGCAGAAAGAGTACTACCCTTGTCGCACTATGGTTTTCGAGATCACTGGCACGTAAAGCTCCTTGCACATCGCCAAAGAGCTTTGCACATGAGCAATCTTCAAGACTTCGTTAACACTACAATTTCTTCCTGTTGTGCGACGGCCATGTTCAGTAGCATACTTGAAAACCTTAATCTTCAAACCGCATGTTAGCTAATGTATGAAACCATCGTGGAAACCCCACGATCGTGCTGTTGGGGCAACCATAAGCTATAGACATTTGCAGAAAAAGCTCTCTGGCCGCCGCCATTTTGCGAACCAAGCGGCCCCTACCAGCCATAAATTTCTGCCACCTGCCTGAGCTGTGGAAACCCGGTCAGCATGACTCCCCAGCTGCATTGTGCATTCAGAGTTCGCCAACTTTTCTTGGAAATTTTTACTTTATTTGCCTGTTTAGGATGCTTACCCTTTGTGTGCTATCATGCACTGTGAGAACCAGGGAATACCAGGGCTCATAGCCTGCTCGGCCTTCGCAGGAAACAAACGAAGAGAGTGAACGTCAAGCAACTCGCGAGTCGTGACGGAGGCAGTTCGACATTCTTGAAGGATTATTTCCGTTGAGATAATCTCCAGAAAGCCTTCCCGACTTGTGTTCCGAGTCTTCGCGAAAAATAGCTGATAGGGTCGGGTCCGGAGTGTTTGCTTTGAAGCTGTGCAAAAAAGCAGCTCTCTTCTACATGTGCCCAAAACACGCCGGATTCCGTCTGATCGTCGTGAAGTTACTATCGTCGACACTGTTTATTGGATATGCTGTGTTATTTGAGACCTTTCTCAAATCCTGTTCGGATAACGCGGCATTGTGGGGTACGTACAATATATGTTGTTCGATTGATGAGACTCGTTGAATTTCATTTTGTGGGCGAGTAAATCTATGCAGTTTGAATATCCTGTGCGGTCAAATATTTTTGACGGTTAAGATCTTTGTAGATTGACAAGGCGGAGTGTATGGTGCCGTAAAAAGACCAACATAAAATAAAACAAACATCCCAGTTGCATTCGTTCTGTCGCTCACGGACTCACCAAAACAGCTTTCGTTGCTTTGTTTTTGTTCTCAAAAATAGTACAGAGCATTCTTAGAAACCCCGAGAAATTCTATTTGCCATAGAATACAAAAGAAAAATAGAACACGGCAATTTAGCCTCCACCAGCGTCCGAAAGTGTGCCCACGCAGGCTGCCACAGCCCACTGACGAGAAACTCCACAGCTCAGCGCAGTCTGGCAACACTGACTTATCCTCTCAAAACCAGGGATGCCTGCTGCAAATCGCTTCGTTCGAGACTGCCGCTTGAAAGGTCTATAGGCAACTTTCAAAAATCCTGCCATGCAACATTGCATGCGTTGCACGCTCGGAACAGTTGGCTGCGAAGCTGAGTGACATGGTTTCAGTCGAACAGGCGTTGTCTCTGCTTGCGCGACGAAACATGTGCAATCGCAAGTATGCTGAAGTTTCTCTCGCGTAAAACATCAACCAAGGCACCTGCAATTTTTTTGCTTAAAACCTGGCATGCTCGAAACCAATAAAATAGTGGCCAGTGTTTTTTTAATTGCTTGGCGACATTTATGGTATTTTACACTTGTGGGATGTCTCAGTTGTGAAAATGAAGTAGCGAGTTCCATTATGACACAATAATCATGGCAAATATCTGAAGCCGGAACTAAATGGCCCGCTAGTACCCGGAATTCATTTCTTGGCATCTCCTCACCAGGGGCCGCCCCGATTCGGAAAAAAGCTTATTGCAAAATGGCGGAAGGTTCATTTCTTCCCACGACCCCGGCTTGGCTTGGCCACCTGGAGATGGAGGTCGTTCCTTCCCATGATCGTCTAGCTGTTTATCGCTCAAAGTGGCGCATAAAAAAATTTGAACGTTCCCACCTCGTGATACAAAGTTGGGGGTGCATTTATTGAGCAAGGTGCAAGGAAATATGTTATATATTTTTATCTGGACTGTTTCCTTTTTTATATTGTGTGTTTTCTACTGTTTGTGCTCCCGTAGGGTAATGCCTTGGGCAATGTTAGGTCAAATGATTGAATTCAATTTTACCTTATCAGAAATTTTGGCATGCTAAGAGCATCAAGCACTAAAAAGGTAGTCAGTTGTTGTCCTTCTGTTAATGAATATTCATGTCTAAATTGCGCCCTTTCGATCATGCCTCTCAAGAACATCACTGCTTCGGCTTTGGCTGGAGAGGACGAAGCCAGCCTGATCGCCCATGAGGAATGGCTTATACGAGAAGGACGAAAGGCAGCTCCTGATGAAAAAGGAATCCATGAAAGGATGACTCTCACTGCGAGGAAGAGGCTCTCTGACATGGCACAAATGGGCATTGATGCTGTTAGGACAAGGTACCCATACCTGATGGACTCTCAGCGAGTGAGTCATTGCTGCTACTCTTCCGCTTTATTGAATACGAAGGTGTTGTTGACTTTTTTTTTGTACTCTTGTTTGAATACAGAAACTCTTATTGAAGGGACACTGACAGGGTGTTTATGCTCGCCGATGTTTTTAGTTGTACATGGCTTATGAGAACCCAACTGCCCAGAACAGAATTTGAGGCTCAAAATTCAGTTTCTTTCCGCCCGAGGACCGCCACGAGAACTGGCCGGTTCGAGTTGCGCTCTCTCTCTTTGTGATCACGGGCTGTTTTCTAAGGTTTAGACACAACCACCAAATTTAATCAAAGTCGTGGGTCATTGAAGGCACACAGCCAATATTAAAAATAGCAAAAAGATGAAACCCTTTTTTTGTGACTTCTAAAAAGCTGTTAATAAGATTATTGAGGAAAAACAAAGTTGCACAGAGAACCGGACGCATTTTGTGCATTTCCTCGTTCAATAGCCCTTTTGCGAAATCCCCCAAGCGCCCTGGCCCGCGCGCGAGGAATTGTGGGAGAGACTGTCCCTGGCCTGGCCACTCTGCCTTGAGATCGCATTGCCTCGTCGCTCGTCTCCTCATAATCTTGTTTTTTGATTTCATTACCTATTTTTATATGTTCAAGTGTATATTTATTGGTTCTAAGTGTTTCTATTTTCTTCTGTGCGCAGTATTTTTTGCATATATATAGTTTTTGTCTTTATTATGCCTTTTTCGACGGGAGTGCTGACGAACAACAGGCCGCTTCGCGTATCGTTCTCCGGGTGAGTGTTATCGTTGCTACTGGTTCCTGTCGTGCTGTTAGCTGTTCATTTTGGTTCACTTGACCCGCGTGCAGTCGTGAGGAGCCGTTTATGAACACCCACGCAGATGTCATAGGGGTAGGCAGACTCTAAATCAAGAATTGCGACGCGAGAGCAGAGTGCGCTGTGATTTAGCCGCCCGCGCCTGCTCCGTTGACTCGCAGTGCAGCGTATGCCTTCGGGTGCCGCTTGCTTGACCAAGATACAGCAAGCTGCTTTGTCGCTGCGAACCATTTGTCCGAATGTTTGCAAAGCTGAGGCATATGCAACGCTGTGGCGTTTGACAACTGCGCGCTGCGGTGCGATCCCTTTGCAAATGCCGACGGCTCAATGTCGCGGCTTGAATGTGCCTATGGCATGCCTTCATAATCTTTCTTTTAAGCGGTTGTCATTTGCCAACGCCCTTTTTCAAGTGCAGAGATAAGTTGCCGCGAATCATTTGTCCGAATGCCTGCAAAGCCGTAGCACCGTTTGTCATATCCAACGCTGCGGTGCCTGACAAACTGCGCTCAGCGGCGCGAGCCCTTCGCAAGCGCCGGGCGGCCCAACATCGCGGCTTGTGTGCGCTTATAGTATGCCTTCTTAAACTACTTGCTAAGCGGTTGTCAGTTAAAAGCACCCCTTTTCAAGTGCAGAGGTGTGCTGTCTCCCAGGCAGTCATCTTGAAACTCGTAGTTCCTTCGATAATTTTATTTCTCTAGTCAAGATGTCAGCTCAAGGTATTTTATTTCTTTAGGTCACCTTCAGCAGTAACATGCCCTCATAGTACAGTTTGCTGTGTGCCAGGCTGTACAAACAGTACTGCCGGCGGACGGCATGTTTCCTGGCACTGCTTCCCAAAAGACAGCGTCCTGCGAAGCGTTTGGGTGAAGACAACTGCGTGGAGTTGTGAGGCGCTGCAAAGTTGGACATGCCGAACAGTGTTACGGTTTCGCAGGCATTCAGACAAATGATTCGTGACAGCAAAGCGGCGGGCTGTATCTTACTCAAGTAAGCGGTATTGAAGGCACATGCTACAGTGCCAGTCAACTAAGCGACGCGAGAGCCGAGTGCGATTGAGCCACCTGCACTCGCTTTGTTGACTCGCACCGCACTCGGCTCTCGCGTCGTGATTGTTGATTCAGAGCTCTGCCTACCCCTATGACATGGGTGCGGGTGTTCATAAACGGCTCCTCTCGACTACACCTGGGTCAAATGAACCAAAAATGAACAGCTAACAGCACGATAGGAATCAGTAGCAATGGTAGTACTCACCCGCGGAACGACACGCGAAGCGGCGTGTGCAGAAGAGAATAGAAACATTTATAAGCAATAAAAAATACAGTGGTGCAGATAAAAATAGGTAATGGAAATGAAAAACCGGATTAAGAGGAGACAGGCGACAAGGCAATGCGATTTCAAGGCAGAGCAGCCAAGCGAGGGAGCCTGTTGAGTGTTAGCAACATCCTAGCTAATGCAGCGACCAACGACTTAGTTGGAAGCTATGGTTCACAGGCCAGGTTTGGAGATCCTATCAACTCTATGCCATACTGCATGAAAAGGACTCGAGGGTCCGAAAGAAAAGAGTAAGAGATTGCATGTGAAGAAGAAGGTTTGATATTTCATCAGCGTGATGTCTGTAGTACCAATTATTTCTCTGCACTCTTGCAAGACTTGCTTGGCAAGTCAATAGACATATTAAGAACTTCAGAAGCAAAGGGAAGTTAAAAAAAATGTTACTAAAAAAAGAAACTTGCGTATTGTGTGTTCGTATGTTTGTTCCTAAAGCCCTTCCCACACCTTCAAGTTGTGGTAAATGGGGGATTCGGCCAACTCGCTGAAAGCCGACTCATCGACAGTCAATTCGTAGTATAGGCCAATTTGTTGTAGGACAATTCATCAAAAGGCAACTTGTCGAAAGGCAACCTGGGACTGTCATTTAACCCATTCGAGGCCGATTCCTCGAATGGGTTAAATGACGGTCCCAGGTAAAAGTTCATGGTTCCTTGTTATCTTTTGATCTAAATTTTTATTTGTGTTTGGACTAGGGACAGCGGTCTTTTTAGGTTTTAGGACAGTACCTTGAGACAAGTTTAGAAATGTAAATTTCGGGATTGTCCTTTTGCTAGTTTTCTTTATTACTTTTTGTAATGAGCCGCTGCGGACTGTTGCCGCGAAGCAGCGTGGACGGGTAGGCCAAGCAAACTCACACGTGCCACAGTGATGCACACGCGACGTAGTAACTGTCCCCCACTGCACCGTGAAAGTGGAGAAAGCTGCAAGTTGTTATCTTCGACAAGAAAGAGCGCACTGGATGTTTATTACGATACGGCGATATTACGCATTACTATAGGGCAGGATTTGCTTTAACATTTCAGGACAAAATTATATATTATGGCTTTGAAACAGCGGCGACCAGTTGGCGTCTTCGACTAATTTTTCTTCGACGATTTGCCTTATGACGATTCGGCCTATTCGACAAATGGGCTGCTGACGAGTTTACCGTCGATGAGTTGGCTTTCGGTGAGTTGGCCTAGACTCGGTAAATGGTAGTGCCAGTAAAATCTGAATTTAGGCGTTGTTTCTTGTTTCCCTTATTTAAATTAATGAACAAGTGCCAATTTCTTTGTAAATTTTATTAAAGAAATGCCGTGGCATATTTCCTGAACTTTCAATTTTTATATTTTCTTTTGTGAAGTTCGCTAAAGATTTCGAGAGGCTCACGAAGATGAACCTGGCCGACAAAGTCGCAAAAGGGATTGACAAGATCGTTCTGTTGGCCACAAAGAAGGCGATCGACTGCCAGGAGCATGTCCTACTTACACTGCAAGCAGCACCGCACATGGATCTGGGGAGGCTCAGGACACGGCGTGAGTACAGTAAGAAAACCGCTGCGCAAGGGAGGCTTTTCGACCAAGCGATAAAATACCACCATTCAATGCATGCATGGGAAAAGATAGTAAAAAAACAAACAAAAAACTTTCAGTCTTTCTCTTTTGTTGAGGAAGGAAGACTAGCGGAGCTGCACTATGGTGGGAATGAAGTAATGGCCGATCGCTAGTCGGCAAGCCAGAGTGGAAAGGTTGCGGCCATCTATGATGGTTGCTGCCGTCTCCTATATATGGCGGTAGCTGTCCAGAGTTCTGTGTCATCGGGTTATTTGAGGACTGACACGACCCTGGGGAAACTAGCCGCTAACAGCTCCACTGTAAAAAAAATAACCGAGTTTATGTGTGCAACCACGTTGGCGCATTGCTCGGCTGAGAAGTAAGCGAAACTATAGCTTTCAAAATGCGGCCTTTAGGGTGGGCTGCTTTGTGCTGGCCTCCCCTGTATTGAAAGATGGAACGTGACTGGCACTCTCGCTATCAGCGCGCTCGGAAACAATAGTGCTACGTGCTGCAATTTTGCCGCTCTGGTCGTTGGTCGCTCGTGCTAATCTTTTTCTGCTGCAGCTGTACATGCGCAGCGCCTTGGCAGAGGAGAACCCTCTGCCAAGGTGCAGGCAGCGTGGTGGAGGGCCGTAGAGGACAGACATTTGGGCTGCACACCAGTGTATGGGGAATAACTTTGGGAGTTTGTATCATACTCCCAAGGTTATTTCCCCGTGGTGATTTGAATTGTTTCATACCATTTGGTGACATGTCCAATGGCTTATCTATAATATTATGTTGCACCCATTTAGGTCGTTCTGGTGTGTTGCCTTCTTTTCTTTTAGTGGGGACAGGCTTGGCCAAGTGAACATCTTAGTATTTGTCTGAAGTTCCCTCATTGTCTGCCCTTGGCTATGTTCGCTGATACCGATAAGAACCTGGAAGATAAGCAGAACAATGCATACATTTTTTTTCTGAAACCGTCCAGGACACGTGCAACGAAGAGTACAAAAATGTATTTGATATCTTGCACAAATGTTGTTGGTGTTTTTCAGACATCCTGACTGTTGCAACTCTGCGCATTTTGGCACTGAACGTCAAGGAGTCAACATCACTGCCCCTAATGTTCGTGCAAGAAGATGTAAGTTATTTCACTATATTTTTGCGAAAGTTGATGTTAGCAAGAACAAAGTTCCAGCCTACCTTCAATGTAGCAGGGTTAAATAAATGCTAACTAAAGAGGTTTTTTTGTTGTTTTTTGTGGGTAGAGTGTTCGTTTTTTTTTTTTTTTTCACGGTATGTTTTTTCATAGTGCCCGCAGGGGCTAGAATTGGAGCCTTCTGAATACATATTAGTGACCATGTTGATGTCAAAGGAAACAAACATGTGAAATGCACATGAATACAAGTCCTGAAAAACCAATGAAGGCTGGAAGGCGACAGGCATGCTGATCTTTCTAGGGTTTTCAATACAGAGACAGTGTAGCGTGTTAACTGGCTTCCAACAGTTCAATAGCAGCTTGTTCACCTGGCCCCTTTTGTTAATGGGGTGTCCCAAACATTAGGCCCACCAGGCCCCAAATACTTCTGTAACGCTCAAGAGATAATGGCCACCTAAATTACAGAGATATAAAGTAAAAATTTGAGGCGAACCAAGTTTCGGGTACAATGGCTGAAACGCCAAAAACCTAATAGTCTGGCTTCCAAAACACAGCCATGCTCAACGTGCCTCATGCTGGATTTTCACTGCTCCGGTTGGTGTTCGGACGGGAGAGATATGGCCAGCGACTGCACATAAAATGTAAATGTAGCTCGTGAAAATTAATTTATACAACTACATACGAGACATTGTTATGTTTGCTGTTTTCTGGAACCTTCATCTTTGGGTTTTTTTAGTGTAGAGGAGGAAGCAAAAAAATTAACATTGGCCAACGAACAAATAATAGCATGTACCGTTATGGTCAGTCGGTAGCCCTGTACGGTTCATAAATGCGGGGTGGCGAGGTAAGCAGGGTGCGTCCGTGGCAGACATAGATTGTAGCACCTGAGCTGCCTGCCTTCTGTCGGTGTTTGCCCCCTTTTTTCTCCTTGAAACTTGTCTGCCCTTGGCTATGTTCGCTGATACCGATAAGAACCCATTATTGCACCCAATGAGCGCTGACGACCGATGACACTGCCTGACAAAGCGCGTCTGCGCAAACATCCCTGCTTTTTGTCTTCTCTTCCTTCTGCACGTATTGTTTCTCATCTGTGCATTTGTTGGTGTCCTCTTATCCAAACAATAACCTCAAATGTACACAGGAAGGCTGCTGTCCGCATAAAGAAACCAGGCCACTGTAAAAGTGAGATGTGATAGCAAAGCAAAAAATCACTCTCATGGTGAAAACGAACCAGTGATGCGTCAGATTTTTGGCGTGACTTTTATTTTTTTTATCTCCAGACCTGTACTCATTTCCAACAATAAATAAGTCTAGCAGCGTATCATAATGCATCGGAAAAGTATCTCACTATTGAAATGCAAATAGGTTTCACAAATGCATCTTCATACTGAAATAGAGATACTAAAATATATCTCTAAGCTTATATCGCAATATTTTCATGTCGTGATGTTTCCCCAATTGTAATTCCTCATTCATTTTACATTGTTGCAGATGCCGGTTACTTATTTAAACATAAGCAATGCTCATGGCCTGAACTGGAGTGAATAATAGCAGTTGACAAGAGCAAACATGTTTTGGCCTTCTACATTAAAATATGTTGTGCCTTTTCCTTTTACCTAACGCAGGATGAAAACATCCCACCGACACCGTGTGTCCTGTACAGCGGGCAAGACTTAGAGGATGCAGACTTCTTTCACCTGGTTGTTGATCGTGAGAGGTTGTTCTCCGTTCCAAATGCCGAGGAGGGGCTGTGTATGTTGTTGGCAGCCTATTGGTTGTTCAGTATACAATATGAACGGAAGGCCTTCAACATGCTCGTCACTCTGGAGAGGCTTTTTCTCGGCATGAGCCACACAACTCCAAGGGCAGTGGTAATTAAATTTTTAAACAAAGTTTGCAGGCACGTGCATGGTTGAAGCAATGATTTGTGCTTCAACCACACGCGCATTAACTGCTTCGTTACGGTTCAGTTTGAGCTTTTTCTTTTTTTTTTTTTTTTTTTACGGTGTTAGTTTGCAGGCTCTGTAAAAATGGATGTCCACCCACGGGACAGTGGGGCTTTACAGTTCAAGTAAGGAAAATGAACACATATTTTATTCAACATTTTATAAGTTAATTTTTACAAAATAGGTTTTGGGAAGAATAGCAAAACTGGAGTGATACCGGCAGAGAAATGAGGCTCATTTATTGGTACGAAAATCAAAGAAGCAGTGCCAGTCAGTTTCAGTGCAGAGGTAGATTTCACAGGACGTGCAATGGTGCTGAGTTTTCTTTGAGGAGCCAGGGTTCCTGCACTGTGTAGCATTCTTGACGTCTTCTTTCTTTGGCACGTGAAGTGCCTGCGCCGTCTGGACTGGCGAGTTCGGCAGTGGCTTGACTCTCTTGCGCGGAACCTGTGGCACCGCACAAACTTTCTAAAATGGCATCAGCCTGACTTGTTAGTCCTGAAAATCGAGCACAATCAATCAAACCAATTGTTTTCACTTCGCGAGTGTTTCAGATTGGTGCGAGCAAAACATGATCATCGCGAAATTCGTGTCATAAGTTTTGGGTCCCAGCGTCCACCCACGTAGACAGTTTGACAAGGGACTACTATAACCCTTGCTAATACTGTTGAAAATATTAAGCATTAGTGACCATCTGTGAACTTTCAAGAACTCTAGAAATATAAATTAACACAGCCTCCGTTTGTGTAAATCACATAAACTGATTACATACCTTGGCGTCGCCCGTAGAACATGCGAGTGCTGCAGGTCGCCATTTTTAACAGCAAGCAACAAGTTTTCAGTGCTGTTTGCTCAACACTCCTCCAGATGGCAGCACAGACTACGTCCATGACGGTGGACAGGCGTCCTTTTCTGTGTGCAACGAAGTTTTTTTTTTTTTTCTTCTTCTTACAATTCAAAACCCAATGTTTACACTGGTGGACGCAGGGTCTCAGGAGGTTATACAGGGTGTTTCACGAAAGGTGGACAAATTCAATACTGCAAAAACTGCTCGAAGGCTTGTGTCGTTTTGGCCCTGGGCTCGAGGCCTATTTAGGAAAACTTTTGAAGTCCGGGATAATTAGATTGTTAATTATTTTTGAGTAACTGACTTTTTAGTATTGTGTTTTAGGTTATGGTTTCAATTAGAAAATTGCTCAGCATCATTGAAAAACACTAGATCAACATATTACACAACAATAGAAGGCACGTGCAGCATCTTACGACTTTCTGAAAAACCTCACAAATGGGATAGGTTTTTAAGTTTCGGTTTGCTATTGGAGCGCATCTCGACCTCGACGGCACCATGCCCCGTGGAGAAATGGTGCAACCAGCCTCTGCTGCGTTGCGCAAGGACATCGCAGCAGAGGTTGCTTGCGCCATTTCTCCATGGGGCGCGGTGCAATCGGGGCCGAGATGTGCTCCAATTGCAAAACGAAACTTAAAAACCCGTCGAATTTGTACTGTTTTTCAGAAAGCCGTAAAATGCTGTGCACGCCTTCTGTTGTTGTGCAATATGTTGATCTAGTGTTTTTCAATGATGCTGAGCAATTTTCTAATTAAAACCATAACCTAAAACACAATATTAAAAAGTTAGTTACTCAAAAATAATTAACAATCTAATTATCCCGGACTTTAATCATTTTCCTAACTAGGCTCCTCGTCCAAGACCAGAATGACACAAGCCTTTTTTTTGTTGCGACCCATAGTTTTCGCAATATCGAATTTGTCCACTTTTCGTGAAACACCCTCTATGTGGATATTGCACTTTTCGCGACAGTATTATCAGGTTAATTTTTATTTTGCTTACAGAACAAATGATAGAATGTTTTATGGAGGCATGTTTTCTTTTTCTGTCTTTAAATGTATAACTTATGCCGACCTCCTGTAGGTGAGGTATAATTTATCTGTACGAGGGTTCCTCATTCCTAGTCACTTTCCAAAACTTTATAATTTTCTTTGTACTTGAGATTTCTGTGATATTTTTCATTACATGTTGGCAGATAGCATTGTTTATGTCAAGGAATGGCATACATTGTATTTTTTTTTTCGTTTGTCTTTTAGGGCACAATAAATGTTCAATTTTACACATTCTAATTGATGTCATAATGAGCTTCACTTACTGAAATACTGCTGTGGTTCAGTCAAGGGCTAGACCACCATGCTTCCAATTAGTAAATAGATATGCTTAAGGAGATGAGTGAAGCGTGTTTCCTGCAATCCTCTGAGACAAAACTTGGCACTTGATCTCCAAACAGGAAAGCTCCACATGCTTCATTTGTAAAAGCCCATTATGTTTATAACTATGGTTTAGCCGTGCAGTACGATGCTTGGGGCCACTGCTTGCTCACTTGAAGTTCGAGAAAGGGCGGCACCGGAAGCACTACCAGTTGCCCTCAGGCTTATGATGTGGCTTGCAAGTAGCTCTTTTGTATTACTTCATGAAGTGAGTTGCGTTCAATGTGACTCGTTCTTTCTTTATCATGTGCCTTGTATGTGATTTGGCAATACCCCCCCAGGTGAAAAAAAGTAAATGTGTTTAGTAAACATGATAAGCTGAGAATCATGATAAGAATATCCAATACTTTATATGATTTTCGTACAATTTAGAATTTCTGATATGTGTATTGGACACATGCCTATAAAATTTTTACTAGGGCCTATGCTTCATTTCAGCTTTCGTCCGAGTGCGGCAGACGCTACCGGCCAATCCAGCATCGGCAGAGTGTCATGTGAGCTTGAACTCCACATAACCAAAACGTTGCATGATACTCTCCCGGCACTGGATTGGCTGGGGTGGCCCAGCAGCCACTGGGCCACCCCAGGGGGCGCCCATTTTACGGCAAGCACCCTCTACCAGGGGTGTTTGGCAAGCACCCATTATAAAGGGTGTTTGCCTGAACACCCTAAGGGTGTTAGCCCTGGGACAAACTGGTGTACACCCTTAAGGGTGTAAAAACTTTTAGTGTGTACGATATAGCTGTCATAGATCCAAAGGTACCGCTGAACTAGCTGAAGTACTCATAGGCTTTTTCCGGTACGTCGAACGCAGCGGCACTCTTTGCAGCTTGAGCTGCTTTCCTCGCGTCGAAGACGGGCGGGAAGTTCATCGCCGGAACTTTTCTTGCAAGCAAGCACGGAGCGCCTGAGGCATTGCACGCCGGTGGCAAGTAAGGCGGAGGAGGGAAGCGCGCCTGGCCGCGCAGCGCTGATTGGCCGCGGAGAAAATACGGAACTACGTCACGACCCGGGAAGGAGAAAGTTGAAAATGTTTACCTCTTCACTCCGGGTGCCGGAAGCCGTTATTACGTCACCGCCAGTACGGAGGGAGCACCGACGTCACTACGGGTTCCGGCGCCCGGGTTTGTATTCAAGGGCCTTTTGAACCTAGCTTAAGGAGAGAAAGAAAGCGTGCGCTTCCAGTCCGGATGTGCTTCAGCCTGGAGATCATCGACTTCGCCTGTTTATACATGAAAAAAAAACAGGAAAGGTTAACCGCATTTCTTGTTCCTACAGGTATTTGAACCTTATTGTTTAAAAGGCTTGATTTATCACTTTGCTTTCACGATATACGTAGAGCGAGGGTATTTTATGCGACCCTCAAGCACAAAAGGTTGGTGCCCCCGAAAAAAACGTGTGTGAGAATAATATGTTTTCCTGCTTGAACAATTACTATTGTTCCCTAGCAGATGGGTGATAGGCTATTTTCACTAACAAAAAGAAGAAAATGCGATCGTACATTGGAAATCTATATCAGCGAGTAGCTATAAAAGCGTAACGCGATCCTAAGATATATACCGTGAGTGCGTGTATATGCACGTGTAAACCTCGAGTAACAATGATTGCTCTCTTTTTGGGAATTCTGTTCTTATGTCACAGCCATGCTCTTTTGTCTAACGATAGCGAAGGAAATTATCCTGATGCCAACGAGGTAAGAAAATACCATTCATGTTTTCCGTTTCTAGGGACGTGATGAATAAGGTGTTTTTTTTTAGTAAATTAAACCCCTAAATGAAGGTGCATATATGCATATATGGACGTTCGTATTGTCAGGATGATGCTGTCGGCAGGAGCGAGGATAGGATAGCACAATATTAGAGAAGACACAATGAAATTATGAAGGCCGGGCAATCAAGGGGGACCTTCCTCAAGATGGTTCCGCGCCACTGCCCAATCGTCGTCTTATCTTTCGTAACAGTATGTTCAATCTGAAGGGGAACTCTCACCTCGAAACAGATCGCCGCTAAATTTATTACAGCAGTCTCACACCGACGATAAGTTTTAGCACATACTGTTCATGGGCAAGATTTTAGGCAAAAATGTCGCGCCCGAATTTCACAAAAATACGCTACACACAGGTCGAGTCAATATAAAGCCTGCACATCCCTTAGCAGGCATTGCGTGACATTCCAAAAGAAAACTTTTAGTCGTGAATAATCATACGAACTTAAAGGGATACTGAACCGAAATTTTGAGCTTGCTAAACAAGGCCGGGCGGATCGGCGGGAAGCTGCGAAACCAAAAAATATCACTCATATGGTGATCTATCTATTGGATCGCCATATTTTTTGGAAAAGAAGTGCGGCGATTGAACCCGGCCGACGAGGCCGACGAGACAAGGCAAGTCACGATTCCCATTCTCTCTCCTTCTCGCTACGTCCCGTCAAGCTGGTGAACCGAAGCGAGGGGGAGAGAAGCGAGGCCACTTTTCCTCATTCTCGAATTCTCCCGGAGGACAGTTACGTTAAAAAACTCGCTTGATCGCGCCCTTCTTTTCCAAAAGTACGGCCATCCGTTTGAGATATCGATGTACGAGTGATGTTTTCGAGTTCGTAGCGTCTCGTTCAACACTTCTGCAGCCTTACTTTGCGAAATCCATATTTTGGTTCAGTATCCCTTTAGTATCAGCCACATTACAAAGAAAAAGAGGTCTCCCAATCTGCTCAGTGGGAATCTAACACGCGACCATGCAAAGCGCCGCCCAAACGTCTTTGTTCGGCGCCACGGGAAGTTCTTTCCTTTCTTAATGGTGGGGAAGTGAATTACTGTTACTCAGTTTTCTGTGCCTTCAGACGCGCGATGAAAGAAACCACCGTGTTCTTTGGTGAGAATATTAAAAACCTTGCATTTAGAGGAAGGCTTCAAAACTACTGGTTCATTCATGCG